TGAGGCAGCACGTCACCGAGGCAGCCTGTGGGGAGCCTGACTGAGATCCTGAAGCAGCTGATCCTAGGTTCCATTTCACAGAAGCAGAAACCAAGGCCGAGTGAGCAGCACCTGTTCAAGGCCCCAAGCAAGCTGCAACCAGCCAGGACAGTCCCACCCACCCCCAGCACACCCTGCAGAGGCAGGTCTGGGGGCAGGGGGCCGGACTAGGGGACTGACCCGTCTTTCGGACGGCCTAACCTGGGAGGCCTGGGCATGGACCCCCCGGCCCTCCTTCCAGAGCCCAGAGCTCCCTCCCATCATCGTGAGCAGGGCCCCCTGCCTTCTCCTGGTGTCTTCTTGGGGGGCCCCTCGGCTGCCGGCACTGACAGGCCCCTTTCCAGAAAGGCGGAGATGGGAGCTTAGGAGCCTCTGGGGCCCAGGTACCGCCTCTAGACCTGACCTGTGAGGCGCTGGCAGGCATGCCGTCCCCTTTGCAGTAGATGGGGTATGCGAGGCCGTGCCTGGAGCTGTGGGCCACGCAGGATGGAAGACGCTGCTCCTGAGCCGGGTGGGCCCCATGGGACCTCTAGCCTCACCCATTTCCGAGTCGCCCCATCAGAGCCCAGATGCCTTGGCAGCTGCCCTGCCCGATCCTGTCCTAATCCATGCGCCTCCCCAGCTGTGCCAGGCCAAGCCTCTCCCCAGGCGTCCTTCTGCCCTGGGTGCCCCTGCAGCCCCTGCTCCACCGCAGCCTGAACTCATGGATGTGACCCTGGTGCCACTTTGAAGGTCACTCGGGTGCCTGGTCGAAACCCTGGAGGGCATCCCGGCTGTGGACCTGGTCTGCTTTTGTCCCTTAGGCGCCTTCATCGCGTGAGGATGGGAAGCTCAGTCCTTTTCCTCCGTTCTACTGCGTAACAGCCCTGTAACGTGTCGGCCCCTGGGAGCCTCTGCCTGTCCCACACTCCGCTGGGACGTTCCAGCTCCCAGGGCACATCTGCCCAGGAGCCCCCAAAGGTGTCTACTCCATCCCACCCACCCCCATCTGGTCATGCCCCTGGCCTCTTCCCCCCACACCCCCAGGCTGTGCCCTCGGTGAGCACTGCCTCCCACCTCTCCATCCCAGGACCTGTCCCTTCCTGGGGATGAGGCCCCTGCAAGGCCTCCCTGAAAGGCCTTCCTTGACCAGCTGGAACTTCCTGCTCTTACCCAGGGTCTCGTGTTGGTTGTGCGCCCCCTAGAGCCATGCTTAGGAAGTGCAAGCTCCAAGTGTGTGTGTGGGGGGGGGTTAACACCCCCCCTCGGCCCACCCCTGCCCCAAACACACACGTACGAACTCACTTTTTTCTAAGTCTTTGAGACTAAGGATTCAGGATGAAATACCTCAAGCCCCTCTTGGATGACAAGAGAATATTAACAAGAGGCCGGGTCAGGCTCCACGATGGAGAGGAAGGACAGAGAGTCAGTTCAGGAGGACACAGGAGCACTGAGTCACGGTGAGAAAACCCGTCTGAGTCCATCGGTTAGGTTTCTAGAACTCCTCCCAGCGTAAGCCACAGCCCTTGGCAACACACAGGGGGACTATGTATAGAGGAAACCCTGGTGGCACCAACAGCCTCTCCCCTGCAGTCCTCCCACGACCAGGTCACGTCCCACTGCGTGGTCCTCCTTTCCTTCTGGGGACATGCACTGAGCCACATGGAGGAGGCGTGTGGGGAAGAGGAGGTGAGGCTACAGGAAACAAAATCCAGCCACAAAATGAAAGGCCGCAGCAGAAAAGTCAGAAGGGCCAAAGGAGAAAAGCTTTCATTTAGGCAGCATGTCTTCCCACCATGACCTGACATTTATGGGTTTTTTTGTTTTAAATTTATTATTATTATTATCCTCACCTGAGGATGTGTTTTTATTGATATCAGAGAGAGGAAGGGAGGGAGGAAGAGAGAGAGAGAGAGAGAGAGAGACAGAAACCTCAATCACTTGCTTCCCACACGCGCCTGGCCCTGGGTATGTGCCCTGACCAGGAATCAAACCCACGACCTTCCGTGCATGGGAAGACGCTCCAACCAACGGAGCCACACCAGCAGGGCTGACATTTATTCTTGTATATTTTTCACAGGACTCGTAAAATGGTGCCTTTGCTATCCTCTGGGTGGAGTTACTCCCCGCCCCGCCGACATTTTTCCCGGCATTCATGAGGGAAGAAACCTTCCTGTGGGGTCACCTCCGGCCGCACAGCTTTCATGTAAAATCACGGTGAAGAGGCATCTGGGTCCTGGACGCCTGCAGCAGCGCTTTCTGAGGGCCCACAGCACACAGATAAATGTCTGTTTTGTTTAAAGTCACTTTCCTCTTGAGAGAACAGTCTTTCTGGTGGTAGAAAGCCTGAGGTGCCGGGAGAAAACGGGTCAGGCTGCTTGTGAAATGGACCAATGTGATCCCGGACTCCTCTGGATGAGACCCTGAGGTTAAAATGAAAGACAAGCCTCTGTGAGTAAGGGCTCCCTCCCAGGTGGGCTGTCAGCTGCTGCCGGGGCCTGGCCATGGGTGAGCTGGCAAAGGCGCTCCCCGCGCTCTCTGATGTCCTCCGGGTTAGGCCTTCCCAGAGCTCAGCCAGCGTCAGTCCTTCCTCTTGTGCACGTCACACGGCCTTTTCCATGATGACTGCGTCCACACACCGCTTCCCGGTCAGGGGTATCGAGAACTTCTCCAAGATTTGGGGATCGTTGGCCTGGGTGCAGTGCTCCATGGTGAGCACTACTCTGGTCTTGATCCTGGACACCAAGTGCACCGCACCCCCCATTCCCTTCACCTTCTTTCCGGGGTCATCCAGGTAGCCAGGTCACCATATTTGGAAACCTGCATGGCTCCTAGCTCGGTTAGGTGGATGTGTCCGCCTCGGATCATAGCACGAGTCATCGCTGGAGAGAAAACAGCCCCTGGGAAGAATGATGGCGGTTTGCTTGCCAGCACTGATGAGATCTGCACCCACCTCCTCCTAATGGACATGGACCCACGCCTGGGACTCCATCTTCACTGTGAAGGTGGACAGTTATATTGGGACGGATGTAGTTGCGGCCAGAAGAGGGGTTCCTATGCCCACATTGGCATACGTGCCATCCTCAAATTCAAGATCTTCCCGTTTGATGATTTGAGCTGTTACATCATCCGAAGACCTAGCTTTTCCATCTTTCTCTTTCCGGATTGTTAACCACTCAACTCTCTTCTCAAACTTTCCCCCTGTACCATGTGATCGATATGAATGTCTTCTGGGGCAAACGACCCCACACCCACCATTTCTTCAACCTCCACCACGGAGGTTCGGCAGCTCTGCACTTGGGCAGGTTGAACTTCCTGGTGCTCCCACCGGAGATAGTGTTTCGCCACTCGGTGCCTTCCACCTTTGCACCGAAGCAACATCCTTGGTGATGGCCGCTCCAAAAGACAGTGCTGCCCGTGAAAGTCCTCCCCTCTGGGCTGACTCATGATGGCCACTGGCCGCCGGGATCGTACCTGATGGGGGCGCCTCCTTCCTGAACCAGAGTCCCGCTGGCCCTGGGCGTGTAGAAGGTGGCACCCCAGCCCCGCCTGCATGGATGCGCTCAGCCAAAGGGCCCTGGGGTCACCTCCAGCTCCAGCTCACCCGCCAAGAAGTGGTGCTCATAGAGCGTGTTCTGGCCCACGTAGGGGCAGGCCATGCGATGCGGGACATCTGCTTGGCCGCCAGTAAAGGCCCAGCCCGCAGTGGTCCACGCCCGCGTTGCTGCTGATCATAGTCAAATGCCCCACTGGGGTCTGAGCAGCGCCCCTAACATTCTCCGGAATCGCACAGAGCCCAAAGCCCCAACCATGATTTTCACCCCATGAGAGCTGTCCTTCACGGCCTCCACGGTCCCTGTAGAACTTGGCGCGGGCACAAGCGCTGACGGTGAAGCCGCACAGGCAGCCCTTGGCCCGTGAGGACCCTGAGCAGCCGGTGGGGACACAGCCCCTGAGCGACGCGGCCAGGAGCCTGCCAGGAACGGGCCCTGCCAGGGACAGGCGGCAGCTGG